GCATTTGGTGCATGATTGTCCATACACATTTACAAGGCAAGCATAATTTCATTTATAATTGCACTATTCCGGCTCTCGACGTGTTTCGCTCGCTAAAGTTCCTCAGGAGGTTTATTGGAGGCAAAACTCTAATTTCGTTGTAGATCCAAAGCTGCGATAACTCTATTAATAAATATAATAAATAAATAGTAATTATCAGTGCACATGTATGAATATCTACATTAATATATAAGTTCAATTAACTACATACATACCCTCTTGGAAAATTGGGCAATGGATGGGTCCAAATGGGTCATTTAAAATTTTACATTCCATGTTAAAAGTAAGCCACCCAATCAGAATCCCTTTTATACTAACCTAACTTCAGAGTGAAATCTGATTTCTCTATATGAGTAGCAGGTTTTATGTGTAACAATAAAACAACACTTACAGGGTTATTCACTAGTGGGTGAAGAGTTTGGAGAAGGCAGGAGAAGTGAACAATCTAAGACAACATAGCTGATTTGGAAAAAATCTCAAATTCAGCTCACTTTCTAGTTCAGCTATGTTGTCCTAGATTGTTCACTTCTCCTGCCTTCTCCAAACCCTTCACCCTTTTGTGAATAACCCTGTAAATTATCTTAACTCCTCCCACTATCTCCATACTGTACATTTGACTACATAACAGCGAATAATGCCACCAATAAATACAAAGTAAATAAATTTAAAATTAAAAAATTATAAAACAATCTACAAATGAATTGAGGTCGAGCCACCAAATCTCTGTGCATTAAATGTATATACATTATGTGCAATTGTGTGTTCCCTTAAAGCCCACCCTGTGTAATTTCTCTTTCTTCAAACCATCCCTAATATCCCAGTGATCAGACATACACCAGATAATGCAGACCTCTATAGAAATGGCAGGTCTTGTACACTTTATTTGCCTAATACTCCTCCCTACTACTTGGTAACTTTCCTTCATCATTGTATCAGAAAATGTAAACATTTCAGCTCACTACTCCTATAAATATTGTAAACTCTCCTGCATCAATCAAAGGTAAAGAAGCTCCAATGGTGCAGTTCTTTTAAGTGCCATTGTTCTAGTGCTATCTTTGGGCTGCCCCCATTCGTACTGCTGGTGGCTGAATGGAAGAGACCAGTGACTATTAAGGAAAGGATCCTTTAAGCAAGCGCTATGTTGTTTTATCACCCCCATTAACACCCATCATACCTAAATAATAAAGTAAAAAACAACAAAGGTTGTGAGAAAACTATAGGCCGCGGCCCCTTGATTGGGTTTTAATCAATTTAAACCATGAAATAGACTTTAACCTTCATTACTACACAGAACCATTGTTAACCATTAACAGACCACCATGGTTAGTCACCACGACTCTAGCAGCAATATCTCACACCAACCAAATTACTGTTTACCAACCACTGTCCACCCACAAAGTGGGTAACTTTACCCCATAAAGGTTGACCGCTACAAGGGAAAGTAGAGCAAAGGCGAGTTGTGGGCAGGGGGCAGGTCAAAAATTTCAAAAGGAAGGCTGAAGATAATGCAGAGGTGAGTCCAGCTGTCAGTCTTGAGGTAACTGCTGACACAGCCCAGGAGTGACTATAGCAGTGAGAGGTTACACTCACTGGCCAGCTGTTTTCCCTCCAAAAATCTGTCACCAATCCTGTGCTCAGCTGATTGTAGATCTGCCCAGCAACAGAGGTATATCATCTTAGCAGGCGGCTTGTAACCTGAAAGCCAAAGCAGAAAGAAACAGCAAAGATCCCCAGAGAGTGATGTACTTAACACCCACCACAGACCTTCTTTTGAATATGATTAGATTTAAAAACACATGCGTGACAATCCCATGGGGCTCTTTTCCATTTTTTTTTTTTTACAATGACAATGAAAGACACCAGCCTACCATGGGCACCTCATTGGTAATTACTGTATAGGTATACAACCTTAATACCAATTAAATGGCTTGCATTACTATGGAACATTCATGTTTGAGGGCAAAACCAGCATAATGCTTAATTGGCCTTTGTTGGAAGGCAAGTTGCTCAATTTGCACTTATGTCCTTAAAGGTAATCTTAGTCCAAAAACAAACAGGTCTTAGATGTGATAGCTACATCCAGGGCCGGATTTTCTCACTCTGCTGCCCCAATGCCAGGTTCCTCAATGCGCGCCCCTGTATGAAGGCTGACATCGCCGAGATCACTTGTACAAAACAAGCTGCGGCTTCCCCACTGTACAATTAACCCTGCTTGCCCAAGGCAGGGCTAAATGCAAAGAACAACTACCCACCCTACGCCTGGAACTGCATGTGCCGGGCGTTGGGAGATAGGAATTCTACACACGTGCTGCCCCGAGGCCTTGTGGGAAATCCAGCCCTAGTTACATTAGTTTTAATTTTTTAGGCTAAGAACATTTTTAGCAAGTACAGACAATACCTGTAGATCTACTCGGAAATGCAGTATCCTTGTAACTTCATGTGAGCTGAAAAGATAGCAAAAACAATCTTATCTTTCTAAACTACTAATTCCAGCCTGGATGACAACTATGGCTACCCCCATAGATGCAGTCAAGTGAATATAACCATAAATGGACATGAAGAGTGTTGTTCACATGATTGCCAGGTAAAAATAAAGGGAAACAAGCATACAAAATAAATTCAGCTACCACATCTAACGACTGATAAGCTGCAATGTGTGACATTTATATTTTGGGGTTTTCATTTTCATTAATTGATGAAAAAGAAAATGATTACATTGTTTTAAGCCATTCAACTCATATGTCATCATTATAAAACTAGCATTGTAAGAGACTGGTCTGCTACTGTAAAATAATAATTTCACAAACCAAAAATCCTCCCTAGATCACCATTACTTTTGATATAAAGGCCACCATAGATTTTGTGTTATAGAATGGCCAGTTGTGTGGGCATGATGTAGCCATCCTGAGGTGGCCGTATGGTGTGACATTTCATGTTTAGCCTATGTAGCACGTAGGAGGATAGGTTTTGCAGACACATTTGGTGCAAGCTTATTGGGAGACAACAAAAGCAATTGGACGAGGTTTTCCAAAATATCCAACCACTTCTACTCCAAAAAGGCTAGGCTGGTGGTGTCTGTGGGTATTCTATAGACAATAATCTAAAAATGGCCTGATATCCATGAACATTTGTATCTGTGGCTCTCCCAAAATCTAAATGTGGGTGAGAGATTAAAACCTAATCTTAATATAATTTAATTGGTTTGCTTATCTGTAAAATTTGCCTTGAAAGCTCATGCACATGGCAATAAATAGCCATATAGTGTTCAATACAACCGTTTGACCATGCTGTAAGTGACAGGTACAGTGTATATAGGAAAGATATGTTGTCAGCACACCTTCCGCTTCAAAATTCCTCTTTATTGATATTTATTCAGTATATTAAAAGAAATAGCAAGATTTTTTGCATTTTGAGCCTATGAGGTTCAGAAACATTGATATTTCTTTTGATATGCTGAATGAACATCAATAAAGAGGAATTCTGAAGCAGAAGGTGTGTTGACAACATATATTTCTTTTTATTGTGGCACCATCCCTCAGTTGTTCCAACACCCAAATTAGGGGGTATTTGGCCGACCCGAAGCCATGTGAAGCAAGCCAATGTACGGCTGATTTCAGCCGATGTACGGCTGAAATCAGCTGTACCAGCCTGAAGTGAATAGCCGAATAGCTCACTTCACTTCAGGTCGGTCATTCACTCGGCTGCCTACGGCAGCTTAGTGAATAGACCCATATATAAAATATATTGGCTGCAAAAGTAGAGCTACACTTTTGTCACTTTTTGGTAATAACAGTGATAGAAGTTGTAAAAAATATTAAAATACTGTATGTATCTCAGACTTATTATTTCCAATTCAAGTCACAGTTCAATATTAAAACCATTGAGCACCAAAATGAAGATGTTTGAAAGCATTTAAATCATCCTCATGTTTTGTTTGGCAGTAATCAACCTGATGATCACATTTTCAGCTGTAGTGTGCACAGAACCAGAGCAGAAAGAATTTGCATCCTCTGCATTTTTTAATAAACATATTTTTCAACAAGAATGATGCTTATTCAGTCTCTTTTTTTTCCTGTACTCTGATAAATTAGGCAAGAGAATGTCTGCACGACATGCACTTCTCCAATAAAGTGAAAATTCTAGGCTAATAGTCACCAGGAGGAACAGTTTCATTGTGATTTCCTCTTATCCAGTGTACTAGAACCAATCCAGCCGTCTCCACTGTACAACATGGGGCAATGATAAGAATGCAATTTCATCCTGAAATCTTTGTTTTGCATTTATCATTAGAAGCCAAGTGTTCAGTTCCTTCGCAACTCTCCAATGGACCTTATCAGAAATCACAGTAGCTGGAGGGCACTGGCAGTACTGATCACTCAGAAGGAAACACAACAGCTGTGTTCCTGACAGCTGGACTGGCATGACGTCTATCAACAAATATCACGGTTATCTAACACTGTTCTCCTCAGCAGGGGACTCCCAAAACCTGTTATGCTGAAAATGAGTTCACTTTCAAGGGACAAGCACTTTCTATCTCCTGCTTAAGGTTTCACTGTAGTTCACACTGGCATATTCATTTATAAAGCAGTATAGGAGATGGAGTAGCAGGGAAAATTATTTTTATATAGCTGGATTCATACAGCTGTTTAATGCAGCGTTAAAGTATTCAGACAGTATATAAAAAGTTTAAAAAAATATATTCAACTTAAATAATTAAAGTATATTATAGTGCAGTGCCTAGAGAAGCAACATTCAATCTATATTAAGCAGAGGGGTGTCCTAGTTAAAGCAAAATATATGCATTGTAACTTGGCAACTGGATCTTTTTGTTTGGTCCATTGGGATGATCTCATGTCTTTTTTGTCTTTCTGTTGTCATAGGAAATTGATAAAAGATCTGCATTGGCTCTTAAACTGATCGCAGATGTTTACATTTATTGCAATATGTTTGTTTTATTATAGATCCTGTAACAGTTGAGAAAAATCCAACAATACGTAAGTGACCCCATATAAGTGACCCTTTTTTTGATGTTTTGCTGGTACATTGTTTTTAGAGTTAACTTCTTGACTTTATTATAATGGCAACAATGCCAAATCTTTCCTTGTTCATTGACACAAAATGCTGTATTTCTATGTGGCAAAGTTGTAAATAACAATTTTAATATCATATTAATAAAATCTGTTTTTAGTTGAAAAGCAAAAAATGACTGGTCTCAAAATCTGAGGCAAACCACAATTATTTTTTCTATGTGATACCACCTAAATTCTAAAGACCTAACAACATCCCTAATAAACATTGACTTAGGAACAGGCTTGGAATAAAATCCTATTATGTTCCTGGAATGACTGCAATACTTTTTGGCCCCAGATGTGGGTTGAAAACTGTCAGGAGAACTACATGAAACCTTTGTGATAAAAAAAACAAACCTTCAAGTGGTTCTTTATATCTGGAATATTCACTTATGACATTAAATTACAATCACATTAAATCACATTTTGTGCACAGCACATGCCTTCAGTATCTGCAAGCAGGTACAAAACATTTGTGCCAAGTGGAAGAGAAGAAAGCAAAGTGCAGTGTTCTCCAGTCATACAGTATATACATGAAAGTATCCCTGGCATTCCTTCAAACAAGCGCACTCCCTTTTGACCCTTACCAACAACTAATGTAGCTAGCTAAACGGGTATGAAATCTAAGTCCTGTGTCTACAAACAACTTTATTGAGATGGAAATATAAAACTGGCATAACAGTTGATAATCCCAGTTTAGCTCTCAAAGGACTACAGGAGAGAGGAAAAGGGTGAAAGGTAAAGTGCACTAATTTTTTTAACTCTGTACCCTGGACATAGTGAATTGTTATGCTGTACATGATGTCACAGCTTCAAAAATGTCTGCATCTTTGCACTGGTGTCACACATGATTCCTGACAGTATACTGCTCACACCAGGACTCTGAAAGAAACTTTCACACATATATGTATGTAAAAAAAGCACTCACTCACTGTATTATATAACTGTATTCTTTCTTTCAAGTGAACAAGTAATAATTGTGGACTGTAACTAGTCCTTCCTCTGGTATAACATAGTATACCAGACAAAGGACTGCGTATGCAGAGAGTTTAGTAAAAGTGTGTGCTCCTTACATATACTGTAGTGGAA